ATATCTTCGCAGTAGCGATTGACCGCAAAGTAAAGCTACCGGAAATGTACAACCCCACATCTGGTCTCAAACCAGGAAGTTAGCATTTTCTCGTGCACAGAGTCAATTCACGTTTATTATTATATTTACAAAACACCAGTTTTTGTCTCGGTCAGATCGTTTTATTTTGTTGTGTTTATCCGCCACAGCTTAAAGGCCGGTCAGTGAAAATAAAGTCTGACATTAAAGCGCCCGTGGAGCGAGAAAGGTTGGGGGCGCTGATCTAGGCGTCATTTATTGTGCTAAGATCAAACACAAAAGACAATCTGCTCGCACAACGCCATGGGGTGCCTCTCTTCTTACCCTCAGCCACTCGATGCCTTCGATCTGGTACCACCTCATGACGCCTCCAGTGAAGAGCTGCGGTTGCTGAACAGGAACTGGCTGCCCGTTCACCTTCCTATGAGGATGCAGGAGGTGCTTAGCGTTGTCGCGCACCGTCTCCGACAGCCGGTTCTTTATATCTTGGTTGGAATCGCTCATCTTCTCAATATCCTCAGCTTCTAGTTTCTTCTGGGCAGGTGCTGCTTCCTGCAATCAGACATATGAGATGTATGTGTATGACACTGGATTCATCACGTGCAAATACTTCTTTTGCTTTCCAGCCACGGCGGGGAAAAACATTATTCTCACCACTTCTTCCACTTTTGCTTTCTTTGCCTGCGACATAATTTCCTGAAAGACAAACGTGAGAGAAGATGAAGATAAACAGATAAACGTTAAAGCTACAAACTAAAGCGAGACTTACTTCTTTTGACATCACATCTGCTATTTTATACTCTTCATCTCTTCTCCTCTTCTTCTTCTCTGCTTTGACAGAAAACACAGTCACACGTCACCAACCACTTTATTAGGTACACATGTCCACCTGCTTGTGAACCACACATCTCATCTGCCAGTCGCACAGCAGCACCTCAGTGCATTTAGACAACGTGGTGACGAATGTGACTTTGAATGTGGAACGGCTAAATAACGCAGATCTACTGGGATTTTACCCCACAACCATCTCAAGGGTTAAAAAGAAAGGTAAACAAACACCTTGAAGCTAAAGAACCAGACCAGCATGTCAAAGCTTGAAGCAGCAAAGAACAAACTTCTTGCCCACCAAAAACAGGAAACTGAGACTGCAATTTGCATGTGCTCACCAAACACCAACACAAGACTGGAAAAGCATTGCTCGGTCTACGTCTCAATATCTGCTGCCATATTTGAATGGTAGGGTTGGCGTTTGGCATGGAGATACATGAAGGCCCCATCCTCACTTCTGTTAATGGTTTAAGTTGGTTGTGGTGACGTAGCAGAGGCGGGGCCATCTTCTTGACACATCCCTCTGTCCCCACTGTATATCGTTTAAACTGCACAGCCTGAGTATTGTGGACGACCACATCCACAGTGTGATTAAACTGAGAAGCCACAATGACAGAAGTTCACTGCACTCAGAGAGCTGCATCGTGGATATGCGTGATGGTGCCAGCATGTATGTTTGCTGTGCCTCATAGAATTATGACAGGAAGCAAAACGGGGTCCCAGTACTAGCAAGGTGTACCTAATAAACTGTCCATAGAGTGTAAACGCTACTAAACTGACATTTGAGCTCCATACTGTAAGTTTAAATATTAGACTACTGGCCCACCTTTGACAGCTTCTGGACCGTTGGCCTTTTGCACCTAGAAGGAAACAAACTGCGGTGAGTTTGGCTGAAAACATGACTGCAACTGAATGATGACTTTGTCAGGAAATCGATCACCTTCTTGGCCTTCTTCTCAAGTTTCTCCTTCCTGAGTGTCTCCTGAGATGGTCATTATAGAGCAGAAGTGACGTGTTAGCCTTGAGTGGACAGGTGCAAACAGCCTGTACGCTCCACATGTTACACCATACCTCATTGTGTTGTTGCTCCATTTTTGTCAGCAGGAACTTAGAATAGATGTTGCTCTTCTGAAGCAAATGCTGGAGCCTCTTGAACCGCATGTCATGCGAGTCCCTCTCCCAAGACTCCCTGGCCTTATGGGAAAAGTTGGAAGCAAGTACATTAACATGAGTGGGCTCGGAAGCATCCAGAACATCAGTGATGTAGAAACAGTTCAATTGTGGCTCGTCGTCACATGAACGCCCTGATCTTGTGGACCGGTGAGCTACAGACACACATCTATACGCTTTTTACTCCCTAACATCTGCACCGGCCACACAAACACCAACTAAAACTAATGATGAGTTTAATAATGAGAAGTTTTTAATCTGATAAAGTGTGCCAGCTTTTGATAGTTTAAAAAATACAACTCCCACCTTGAGAAATTAAACAACATACCTTCTTCATCATCTCCTCCTCTTTCCTCTCGCCTTGCTCCATTAGCTTCTTCTCTTCTTCCTCCATTTCCTTAGTAATCACCACTTCAGCCGTCATACTCTCAGACTTCACACTCTCATCTTAAAAACAACAACAACCTTGACACCACCTGAACAAGACTACGCACACAGCATCTTTTCAGTGACACAAGTTACTATGAGGTAATTAGCATTTACTAGTTAATGAGCATGTGACACGCAGCCCTGTTCCTAATGAACTGGCCGTCTGTCTCAGCTTCCTTTGCAGCTCTACATCAAAAACAGACCTCACCTGCAGCAGCACCAGTTTCAATGGCTGTGCCCAGTGGCTCCTCAGACTCGTCAGGTTTGGGGCAGTGAGGGGAGACACTTCGAGTTTCTTCTTTTAGGCTGTCAGCAGAACAATGAAATCGACTCAGTAAAACTTTTCCTGCCATTTTTACAGAGGTGAGTAAACGCCATTTAGACCTTTCCTAGGCCCTGTAACCCAGGTGAAAGGATACATTTGATTTGAAGGGATGAAGTACAACATGAGTATTTCAATACTCTGCATGTAACATACTAAGCTCACAAAAGTGACTGTAGATACCATACTTTACCATACAGGATGCAGTTTCAGACAGTTTCAATCTAAAACTTCATAATCAGTGAACATCTGTGAGTCCTTCTGGTTAATTAATGATGATAAAGAAAGGAACAGGAAGGATGCATGCTGTTCATTTATTTATTGTCTGGGTGGGAGTTGGGCACACGGTGACCTTGGTAACAGAAACGGGCATTGAAGCTTTACAGAGAAGAAAATGATACCTTATCGGAAATTGTAATTATTATGTTAGGAGACTCAGGGCTGCAGTATTTGCGTCCACCTGTACAGGTGTTTGAGCCAAGTTATTACAGTGCACTTATGCTCCACGCGTGGCACGTGTCGCGTACCTCTCCAGCTTTGTTACTGGCG